GGGATTTGGGCAAGTTTGGGGGGACACACAGGTCTGTGCACCAAACAGTGCTTCTAGAAAGCGTGAGAGCCCATAAGATTTGGAGTCAGATAGGTGTGCGTTCAAATGCCACCAGGGTTGCTTCCCCTTGTTGAGTCTATTTCCTGAAATCTGTAAAATGCAGTGGTTGTGAAGATTAAATGCGTGGTGTAGGTAGGGCCTTGCAGAGGGCCTGGCACAGAGCAGCTGCCTGCTTGACACCTCCTTCAGGATGCCACCCAGGCTCAACTCCAACTTCTCTGTCTTCCCTCCTCCCACCCCAAACCTGCTCTTTCTCGGGGCACCTGATACTGTTGAACGTGCCCCCAGCCTCTAGCCAAGCACTTCTGAACATACTGATCTGGTGGGGGGCTGGGGGCAGGGAGTGTGGGGTGGGATGCTGGGCTCTGGGAGGATCAGGGAAAGGGTCTGCAGCCAGAGGCCAAGACAGTGGTTTGGCTGAGTAAGCGGGCATAGGGGTTATTGTTTACAACTCACCCAGCCATTGTCTCTCTACAAGGAAAGGCTACTATACTATTTTACAGATGAAAACCGAGGCAAGAGAGAAAGAGCGGCTTGTGAAAGGTCCCAGCTCTGGCAATTGATGGAATGACACAGAGTTTATACCCAGCAGGTGCTCAATAAATTCTCAAGGGAAGTCAGGTAAGATATAGATGGAGATGGAATCTGGGCATAAGGTCTTGGTGAACTGGGAGGATACTATTTCAGGCATGTGGTAAATTAAAGAGTGAATAAGAAATAAAGAAACAAGAAGTGTGGGGAAGACCATGGATGGTCCTCCAAAGTTTTTGATCAAGTACCCTTTAAATAATTTTTATTGTTTTTTATATATATATATATATACACATATACAAATATATATATAACAAAACATTCGACATTTCAGCAATCTTCACATGTACAGATCAGTGATATTAATTATGTTCATCATGTTGTTCAACCATCACCCTTAACTCATTCCCAGATTATATTATCACCCTTAATAGTAGCTCAGTAAGGAATGTGGACATAGTATGTATTAGTCAGAGCCCTGGTTGTGCAGTAGTTAAGAGTTCGGCTGCTAACCAAAAGGTCGGTCGGCAGTTCAAATCCACCAGCCACTCCTTAGAAACCCTATGGGGCAGTTCTACTCTGTCCTATAGGGCCGCTATGAGTTGGAATCAATTCCATGGCAACAGGAGCAGGGGCTCCTTCAGGGAAAAATGACTGCCTACAAGGGGTGGGGTCAGGGAAGCTTTCCAAGAGGAGGAGTCTTCTAAACTGGGCTCTGAAGAATGAGTAGGAGTTTGCTTGACAGAGTGCCGGGGAAAGGCAGAGAGACCAGCCTGAGCATAGGCTAGATGGAATGTGACCTGTCCTGGCACAGTAAGCATGCTGGGCGGTTGGGAGAAGTGATGAGGGCAGAAGGGCAGGGATTAGTGGCCACGATACACAGGGCTTTGGAAAGAGGACACTTGATAGGAAGAAAACTCAAAGGTAGAAGCTTGAGTCCTTGGGGCTAAGGCTGAGGCTAGGGCTACAGAGTCACGTTAGCAGACAGAAATTTGGTATTTTGGGCAGGAAGGAAACTTTGCTGGATATGACCAGGCTTTCCTTGATCTTAAGTCGAAGGCTGATCCAGTTCTGGGGAGACCCCTGGATGGGGAGAGGAAGGAAACAGGGTCAGTCACTCTTCCTCTCTGGAAAATTGGGATAACAATATAGTGCCCATCTCATTGGATTAAATGAGGTTTCCCACAGAGTAGCTGGCACAGAGAAGGAAAAGCCAAAACTACGACTGGAACAAGGCAATCCTGGCACATCCCAGAGGCAGAGCCCTTACTGGAGCTGTTTTTCCAGGGGGAGGTACCAGTGTCTTCTGGACACTGCTGGCAGAGTGAGCTTTCAACTGAGATAGTGTCATTTCCCTGCTCCTTAACCTTCCATGGCTTCCTACTGCCCTCCAGGTAAAACCTAAATTCTTTAACTTGGTCTACAAGGCGTTGCATGATCAGGCCCCTGTGGTCTTCCTCATCCTTATGCGAGGCCCCTTATTACACTCACCACCTCTGCCTGCACACTCACTCTAGATGTCACTGCTCAGGGAGGCCTGCCCTAACTGCCCAGAGTCTGCTTCAGGGGCCTCCCTGGCTCCCCTAGAACCTCTCCCCAGCTCTCTGAGCTCAGCTCCCCGCCTTGCTATTACTTGTCTGCCCCCTCCCCACCCCCTCCACAAGGCTATGAGTGAGAGTTCAATAAATACATGTTGAATTAATGAATCACAGGGGTCCGTTCTAAGACTGTACACTGGCCAAATGTCCCCACAGGTATCTACTTCACCAGGGTAGGTATTACCAGTAACCAAAATTTACAGATGAGGAAACTGAGGTTAAGGTAATCTCACTTTTTCTGACCGTCAAATTCCTGAGCACCTGTGTGCGAGACACCATGCTGTGTCTTTTCATAAACACTATCTGTAGGGTGAGCTGGCTAAGAGCAAGGTAGTGATGCCAATCACACTAGGTGATTGTCAAGGCTACAAGACCTTTTGTAGGGACTTAATCTCTTAAACCTCAGCTCTTCACAGGGCAGGTGAAAGGGTTAAAGTAACTAATGCAAGGTGCCCAGCATGGTGTCCAGTACCCAGTACAGAAGCAGGCAGTATTTATTGATTGTTTTAGGAGCCCTGGTAGCAAAGTGGTTAAAGTGCTCAGCTGCTAACCAAAGGTCAGCAGTTCAGACCCACCAGCCACTCCACAGGAGAAAGATCTGGCAGCTGCTTCTGTAAAGACTTACAGCCTTGGAAACCCTATGGGGCAGTTCTACTGCCCTACAGGGTCACTATGAGTTGTAATTGACTCGATGGCAGTGGGTTTGGGTTTTTAATCTGTTTTAAGGATGGGAGGCACAGGCCCAGAAAAGGTACCTGAGCTGAGACACAGCCCTACACCTTCTTCCCCCACTTCAGGAGTCAGTGTCCTTATGGGAATAAAGCTCTGGAGATACCTCAGCCCAGTGTGGGTACACGTGAGGGCCTGGCCAGGGCATGCTGGATGGGGATGCTCAAAAAGGGGCTGCTGGGGTTGAGGCCTCTGGGGCCAGGTTCTATTATAAGAGTCTTCTCCTGAGGCCTGGGGTTCTCTGAGACAGGTATCTCATCCTTTCTTTCTTACATCAGGGAAGTGCATGAGGTTTTCCCTGGGGATCCTGTCTTCTTGCCCAGACCTGCCAGTAAGCTGTTCCTCTCCAGCTTCAAATCCCTCTTTAGCCACCAGTCCTCTCCCGTGGAGTCCCTGGGTGGTGCAAAGGGTTAACGATCTTGGCTGCTAACTGAAAGGTTGGAGGTTCGAGTCCATCCAGAGGCACGTGGGAAGAAGGGCCTGGCGATCTAGTTTGGAAAAATCATCAATTTAAACAGCATGAGCACAGTTCTACTCTGACACACATGGGGTGCCACCAGTTGGAATTGATTAGATGGCAATTGATTTCCTCTTCCACGGAGGCTGGACGTTCACAGAGAAGGGTTCTTGCAGGGCAGTAATACCCAGAGTTTTGCTCTGGGAGGAGATGCTGTCCCAGCCACTCTTCACACCATAGCACCTTTATTTAACAGTCTCCTGAGGCCTGGGATTCTCCATGGCAGGTATTTCATCCTTTCTTTCTCCCAGGACCCAGCACACTGTCTGGCACTTAGGAAAAGGCTGCTGAATAAAATGATGAACTATATTTCAGCATTCATCCATACAAGCTGCCAGTACTTAATCCTTACCTGACAGGAGCCTCTCAACCACTCTGTGCATTATTATAAGCCACCATCCCATCTTACAGGCAAGGACACTGAGGCTTAGTGCCCCAAGTGACTTGCTCTAGGCCACACAGTGGTGGCTCTCAGAATGACTGGTGGGAAAGTAAAGGGCTGGCAGCATGACTTGGGGCAACTGACTGGGAGTAATTGTTAGTCAGGAGCCCTAGTTGTGCAGTGGTTAAAGTGCAGGGCTGCTAACTGAAAGGTCAGCAGTTTGAATCCACCAGCTGCTCCTTGGGAGAAAGAGGTGGCAGTCTGCTTCCATGACTCAAAGGCAACTGGTTTTTTTTTTTTTGTTTAATTGTTAGTCAGAAGTTATTGGCTCAAATTATCAGGTATGAAGAAAGAACCAGTCAGAGTTTCCCCATTGAATTGAATTGCTCAGTATGGGGTTAGCAAAAGTGACTCCTTAGCAGAAGAAAGGAGTGGTCCCTGAAGGGCTGGCCCCTGGGTGTAGATCCGGTTCTTCTCTGGCTGGTCCTGGCCCACAGAACACTGTCACCTTAACTTTGTACCTGGGGATCCTTTGGGTACCTCAGTCTCTTGTCCCAAGAAAAAGCCCGCAGTCTTCATCACTCTGGTTCCAGAAGGCACTTTCTCTGTAACAAATCTGCTTGCTGTCTTGGCAGGATCTTCATCCTAGCACTTAGCCACAGTGTGATAAGGACCTGTTTACTTGTGTGCCTCCATCGCTGGACTGTGGGCCTTGGAGGGAAGGAAGCACAGGGGCATCTGGAGCCCCCTGTCTGCTCAGGCCAGCCATGGGTTGAAAGCCGGGGAAAGCTGAACGACCCAGTTTAGGAAGCCTAGCGCTGATGCTGGCTTAGGGAAATGCCAAAGGTGGCCTTTCTTCCAGGTGGGCTCAAGGTTAACAGATAGAAGGGCTATGGGTAAATACTCCGCTAAGGCAATAATTATGCACATTTACTAAGCCCAGGGAGGAATGGTAGTCACGTGGCCCTCGAGGGCGGCGCCCTCAGCTTTGAGATGGCTTTAACCCTAAATCTAATCACAGAAGGCTTTCTGGAGGAGGCGGCATTTTCATGATGGCCGATTGTGGCTTTCTCTCAACAACAAGGATGTTTTTAGCGCTCTAGATCCAACACGCTCCGAGGTTGCCTTCTTGCTGGGGAGCAAGACAGGGGGCAGCGCGGTCGGGCCGGGCTGAGGTAAGGGCCTAAGGGACTGGAGTCTCGAGGTCAGGACGGGCTTGGATTTCCCGATCAGCCCATTCGCTGTCTTTGCGGATTGGACGCGCCTTGGCCGCGCTAGGCCTGTGTCGCGGGGCCCAGTGTGCTGGGTGCAGGCCGCAAAGTCCCGGGCGCCGGAGAGCAGAGAGCCCCTGGCCGGGGTTTACGCCCACAGCCTTTGGCTGGGCCAGCCCGGCGGTCCGCCCTCCCGGCGCAGTTCCGGCCGGGTCTCTACACTGGGCCCGCAAGGGCGAGGCGCGCGCTCCCCAGGGAGCCGGGCTGCGGAGCCGGCGGCCTGCGTGGGGCGGCGGTGGCACGAGAGGGCCATCTGCCTGGGCGCCGAGAACTGCAGCGTCCGCGGTGCGAGGCGCGGCTCCTCCCGGCCCCCAGCCCGCGTCGCCTGCCCAGCGCGCACGCACCTACCCGCGCCCGCCTGCGCCCGCGGCCCGAGCCCGGGTGCCAGGCCCAAACCTAGGCTAGGCGCGGGAGGCGGTGCAGGGATTAGTGGACCCCTCCCCCAGGGCTCCCCTCGCCCCGCCCGAGGCAGCCAGGACCCTTGGGCCTGGGGGTGGTGAGGGAGCTTCGTCCCGGCAGTGCCCAGGCTTGGGGATCAGCTTCGCCGGGCGGGGGCCGCACAGCGGCAGGCCAAGGTGCGGGTGTGCTGTCAGGCTGCAGCCCGGCTCGGTTGCGGGGGGTGGGCTCAGCGCGGGGGTCGCCTGGCCACATCCCCCAGCCGAGGGCGCGGTCCGGCGGGCAGTGCCCGGGCGGGTAACCCGACCCGGCTCCCCGGAGCCGCTCACCCCGCACGGCCGGGCAGCGGGAGGGAGGGGAATGGGCGGGGGGGGGGAGGGAAGGGGCGGTGGGTGAGGGGCTGTGGGGACCGCAGGGCCGAGTTCCTGGCCCGGCCTGCACTGCTCTAGGGTGGCTGTCGGCGGCGCCTGGGACGAGCCAGACCCCTGCCTCGCGGGCCTTGGGCCTGCGGCAGGAGGGAGCCCTGAGGTTGCACAGGCTTGGCTCGGGGAAGCAGACCCGAGCAGCTGCCTCCATTTTGTTTCCTGCTCAGCTTGGTCTGTGGTGGTGTTGTGGGTTTGGGGTGCGGCCGAGCTAGGGGTTCACCTGCGGCTGCGCCTGCTCGGGGCCTGAGGCCTCGAAGACCCCAGCCCAAGCCCCCAGGTGAGCCCCGTAGCAGGAGGGGGGTTGCCTTGGCCTCGGGCCGAGCCGAGCGGACTGAGGGCAGGTGCCCAGTAGATGGGGAGCCCGGGCTGTAACCTAAGATGGAGGCCGGGACTGACGCGGGCCCGAGCGAGGCTGGCGGGTCGGTCGGACAGGCCTCAGCGGGGCCAGGTGCCGCCGGGGTGAGGGCTCGAGACCGGTAGGGTGCTGGAGTCGAGTGCAGGCCGGGGCCGGCACAGCGCCCCGAGGTAGGTGAGGGGATCTGAGTGCCACCCACGACGCCCGCAGGCCCAGACACTCCGGGGAGGCGCGCGAGGCCCCAGGGGAGCCCGCCTCAGGCCCCGCCCGGA